CCTCAGGAAGGTGGCCAAGAGGAGCCCTAGGGCCTTTCCTGAAAGGGGGGGATGGGGTGGGGCATTGCCATCAGCACTGTTTAGGGCCATGCCCGGGGACAATAAAAGGTAGACTGGCTCTTGATGCCTTTCACTGTCGTCTCTGCAAAGTGGGCCCCTGATGGCACCAGGGTGACCCTCCTGAAACCCGAGGCGTGTTTGCAGGGAGGGGAGGAAGGCAGGCTGCTCCCGACTCAGGTTCATTAGGAAGTAGGCTCTGCCCCCGTGCTGAACCCAAAGCTCCTGGCCATGACACAAGAGCCTGTGAGCAAGACACCTGCTCCCACAGGGGCTGCAGTCGCACCATCCTCAGCAGCCTGCATGCCTCCATTCATCCAAGAGATATTTGCTGGGCTACTGATGGGCTCTAGGCACTGCCCTTGCCCCTGGGAGTCCACCACAGGCCTGCACGGGGGTCCCAGATGGCGCCACTTTCCAAGCACATCAGCACCTCCCAGCCATGCTCCCACCAGCATGTCCACCAGGGCCCACCCTGGCCGTCTCCAGCCTGCACTGTGGCTTCAGGGTCTCCTCTCCCCCATGCAGTCCGGGGCTACAGCTGCACCAGCCCCCAGGCCTCTGCCTGCCCCACGCAGCAGTAGTGTCAAGGCCAAAGCACCATTTGGTCCAGAACTTCTGACAAGGTTCCTAGATCTCCGTGTAAGCAAATCTTGGGGCCAAGAGGCCGAAGAGTCTCTGGGAACAGTTCGGAGACTGCTCACAAGCCTGCATTGGGAGCAGAGTGAGTGTGCTCTGGACCTCACAACTGGATTCTCTGAACAGCCACCCTGTCCGGTCCTTGCTAAGTCTACCTTGTGCATGTCCTGCTTCACTTACAGAAGAAGGAGAGTTCCACAGCAGGAGGAAACCTGCACTTGGTGGAGGGGGATAAGTCTAGGGTCCCTGTTCCACATGCTGTGCGTGGTTTTAAAGAGTGGCAGTCAGAGCTTGCTGTTGGGTGGGGGCTGCTCTCAGGAGAAGCCTTCGCTGCACAGATGACCAGTGTCCCTGCCAGCCACTCACTCGCTGGTCATCATGGGTCAGTTGGCTGTTAAAACCCTCCCTTGCTCAGCGAAAACTGACCTATTTAGCCCCCCTTCCCCTCTTATAATAAAGTTGTGTTTCACCAACGAGTTGTGTTTTATTTTTATTTTTGGTAAATAGGGTTTAGTTCTGCAGAGCAATCTGAGGTGCACAGAGGATTGGGAGGAAGAGTCAGAGATTTCCCACCCAGACCCCCCTCACTCTACCCAGAGCCTGTGGCCCGCGTCAGGGCTTGCTCCTGGTGCTGGCACCCGGGGGGGCTGGACAAATCTTGGCCATGTGTCCATCACACTAGGGTCACACAGTGATCCTGCTGCTGACCTCCTGGCCAGGTTTCAGCTCTGCAGAGCACGACCAAGCCCTGTGTTTGGAGGCTGCTGTGTTTCCATGTGTTCCCACGGCACAGTCCCACGAGAAAAGGGATCACATTACTTCCATTTTACAGCTAAAAGAAACAGACGCCCAAAACAATGTTTAAAATGCCCCCAAAGCAGAATCAAGCCATGAGACTAGAACCAAAATACCAGCAGGGGCTTCTCTGGCCCCTCCAAATGCCAAGGCCCTGTCTGTGATATGCAGCCCCAGCGCCAGCCCAATTTTCAGGGCCTCAACAAGTTCTGACCAGAGGATGCCTGGCGGCTGGAGGGCACAGGGAGCAGAGACTCGGAATCCACCGAGCACACAAAGTCGCTCCTGCAACTTCAGAGAGGGCCACCAGGAGACAGGACTAACGGCACGGAACGTGACTTTTTCTACACCTAATATCACGAATTTACAAGTCAGGGATCAAAATCTTAGACAGGGGGAACTGAACAGTCAGAAGAACACAGCACTTCAGCCACCAAGGGACCGAGTACACCTCGCCAGCAGAGTGCTGGGCCCAGCACGGCCTGCACGGGTCCCTTCCTGCTGGCTGATACCCCGGAGGGACATCGTCCGCCGACAGCACAGCAGATGGGCTCCGTCCTGGGCCGTCCATCCGCTCACTGCTCAGGGGTCAGTGGACACAAGCCTAAGTGGGTTTCTGGAAGGCCGGAGCACCCACAGCTTGGCCACAGCACAGGGGCAACTGTGGCCCTGGAGGTCAGGTGGACCCAGGCTGGCGCTGCTCTGCCTGCTTCCTGTGTGATCTTGGCAGTGCCAGTCACACAGCCCACTTCACCACCCAGGGGAAGGCCACCAACCAGCCATGTGGCCCTGAGGGCTGCAGACCCTGGGCAGGGCCTCTGTCCTTCCCTCGGAGAGCAGACTCCCAGAGGGGTTCTTGGGTACAGCCCGGGTCCTTTCCACGTGGCCTTAGAAAACCTGCCCCACAACCTGGGAAGCCCAGGCCTGGCAGCGTTCGATTATGTAACCCAGTGCTCGGGACCCTCGGACCCCCGCCTCCTCCAGCCAGCCCTTCCCACTCCCAGCTCCAAAGGGGCCATTCCTCCAAATGTCAACAGCAAACCCTCAGACCAACGGAAAACTTCAACCAACACAGTCAGCTTAGTTCAAAAGCCTCACCTACCACCGTCGTGGAATGCAGAGGGTGGGGCCTGGGGGGCAGTGTCTTCCCGTCATCTGGTCCCCTCTCGTGGGGCACAGACCTGGTTTCTGGGAGCACAGGACCTACACAGGACCACCACATGCTGGCAGCATGAGAACCACCTCAGGCACTACCAAGCAGCCCGAGCAGGTGTGCGCTGCACTCGTGGTGGCTCCAGCCCACTGCAGACCACAGGGAGTCCCTGTTTATGAGGTCTGAGCACCTTCCCACCTCCTGGGGAGCCTGCAGGAGCACCAGGTGACGATGTACTTGGTCCCAGGAGTTGGGAACGTGCTCAGACCAGAGGTGTATAAGAGCCACCTGCAGATACCTGGGCCACCTACTGCCTCCGTCACATGGAAGGAGAGGCCTAGCACACTGGGACCATGATGCTTTTCTGATGAAGACCCCACTGGGACAACAGGTGACACCTCGTAAAGTTCAGGCAGCTGGGTGTGGCCCAGAGCCATCATTCAGAGTTGAGTCCTTTAAAAATGGCCTGTGTTAAATCCCCATCAGTCCAAGTGCCCAGGCTGAGTCTCGATGAGGACACTTCAAATGAGACCCAGGAAGGATCTGGGGTGGTGTTATTGTTTGGTAAGCCATGATCCTTTCTAGAACACTGAGATTTCTGAACAAAGGGACCTCTGTAATAGGAAAGAAAATAACTCTACCCCAAGACAAAGGAAATATTTGTGAAACGTGGGACAAAATCTGCACTGTAAGGTGAACCCCCCACCCCCGGGTTCCATAGTGCTATTTGCCATGGTGTGTCCACCCCTGGTGCCCAGGTGGGTACTGGATAGGTAGCGGAGGAAGGCAGCACAGGAGTGCCAGAGCTCTGGGTGCCGCCTGCCTCCGGGGAAGGCTGTTGGGCATGCTACTCACAGGAGATAAGCTGAGCCCTCTGCAAGGGCAGAGGTTCCCTTAGCAAAGGCTGGCTGGTGGCAGGAGCCACTTTGTGCCACTGAGTTTGGGATTCCTCCCTTCTAGAAGACATGAATGCAGCCCTCCCTGGTCCATGTTTGGAGAACTGGCAGAGAGCCTACCTGAATGGGGACCAAGAGAGACAAGGAGGCTCAGGCCAGCGCTAGCTTAACTGGGCCTGGGCAGGGTGACAGCTGAGCAAGCCCTGCCCCTGACCTGGCTGCAACCTGCTGAAAAATACTCTAGAGCCCGAGACTACTGTCCCCCTTGGTGTTTGCAGGACTAGGGTTCCCTGCCTTGGAGTTCATGCCTCCTGCTCACTGAAGGGGCTTGGCAGGGCCAGGGCAGAATCCTGGAGAATCAGCCCCTGCTGACAACTTTGCTGTTTCTGGAAAGTTCTCCATAGGGGCTTGGACCCTCTCTTCATCTGTAGGGTATGTGTCCAGACCTGGACCTCACAAAAGCCTACTGGAGCATCCCAGGCCTGCCCAGCGGCCAGGAAGGGGCCCTAGAGAAAAGCCTGCCCAGCCTCAAGAGGCCTACTCGATGTGCCGGTGGCCATGCAGGGCTGGGGACCTCCTGTGGCCTCATGTCCAGGAATAAAGCTGGGCACCAGGAATCCCACATGGGGTCAGCCAGGAAGAGACCAAGTCTAGAGCAAAGCAGCCTGTGGGGTCCTGTGTGTCATTGGACCTGCTTCAAGGTGAGCCTGGAGGCTCCTCCACAGCTTCCTGTGGTGAGTCACGGCAGGGGGGCTGCAGGTCCACAGCAGAAGGCTGAGGTTCTGAAGCTTGGGGCAGGGGGTCCAGGGCCACCGGCTGGCAGCCCCCTACCCAATACCCACTTGCTCCAAGCCAACCTTTCCAGACCCTCCCTGAGCAGCAGATACACCCAGTTGTGTTCCAACCACCCTTTTCAGGAAGGGAAGGAGCTGGAGGCTCAGAACAAAGGAGACCCTGTTCTGGCTTCAGAATTAACCCTCAGGTGTCCTTTTCTCACCTCCTGTAAGTCCCCCTCCCCCCAGCCACCTGCACCCGTGTACTCATGCTGCCCCTCAGGCAGCACAGGGGCTCTAGGGCTGAAGCTGCACCTGCCCTCTCCGCAGAGCCCTCCCCCTCTGGATGCGCCTCTCCCCCATTCCCACCACACTTGGATGGGGTGGGGGGAAGGCTAAGGCGGCTGCGCCTGCCTGGGGAAGAAAGCTACCTTGGAAAGGGGTGGTGGGAAGAGGAGTGTGGGAGGCCAGGGTCCGGCCGAGGGCGAGGGTCAGGCGGAGAGCGGGCTCCCTCCCCCAGGCGGGGACCCCTAGGACCGCCGACCCTCCCCGACCCGAGGCGGCCTCTGGGTCAGCGGGACGGGGGAGGCTCACGCACAAACCACGAAACACAGCGACGGCGAGGGGGACAACCGTCCGCGCCCTGTCCCCTTGCCCGGGACCCCGCCTGGGGGTCTACGCGCTCACCTGCGGGCTGGGCTCGGACCCGGTCCGGGGCACTGGCGTGGACCCGCTGGAGCTGCAACTCTGGGGTGGAACCGCGGGAGGCGGCGACCTCGGGGATGACGCGGCCCGGGCTCCCGATTGGCCGGCGCCGCCCGCCCCTCCCCTAGGATCCCGTGGGGCTGCAGAGTCCCGGGGTCTCGCTGTCCCGGGGTTGCACAGCACCATTTCAGGGGCCGCCGGTCCGGTCCCCAGGCTCACTGCTTCCCGGGGTGGCCGCGGCTGCGTCGCGTACTCAGAGGGGAGCGCGCGGGGTCCGGGGAAGCGCAACGCAGGGCCCGCTTGCCTGGCCTGGCAGCTCTCCCGGACCTCAGGGCTGGCCAGCCATCTAGTGACGCCCGCCGCCCTGGGCCAGACGCACGCATACAGTGGGTACTATCCTTCGCTTGCCTTGTGGGGCAACCACAGCAGACACCCGCAGCCCAGCTGAAGGGCTGCGTCCTGGGTCAGAGGGCTCGCCTGGTGGGACATGCGCGGGGCAGTGGGCAGAGCCGGCTGTTCGCTGGGCGCCGGGGCAGGTTCAGAAGCCGGGCTCTAAGAAGCAGGAGATGTTCTCTGCCGACCACCGGGCCAGGACCTCACAAGGGAAGAAGACCTGGAGCGGACTCTTCCTGGGTCCTGGTGGTTTGCTCCCCCAGGGTGACCAGGGAGATTTGGGGCTTGAGCAGAAACCTTGAGGAGAGAGGGGGAGAAGAGAGGTCCAGACCCAGGACCTCCAAGTGCAAGGGCAGAAGGCCCGAGTTGAGAGGTGGCCAGGAGCAAGCCTCCTTGCAGACCCGAGGGCTGGGGAGAGCCCTGCTCTCCTGCTCTGACCGCTGCCCCAGGCTTTGTGAGTTTCTGCTCCTCCTTTCCTGCCTGCACTCTGCTCCATGGGTTTCCTTCAGAGCACTTGGGATTATTTGCTCTTTCAGTTTGACTGGCTCCTTCAGGCAGAGTCTGAGCACCCACAGGGCAGACATTTAAGTCTGTTTTGTGTATAGCTGGACTCTCCGTGGGTTGCTGGTGCTGGAGAGTTACCTTTCGCGTGAACATCAGGGCCAAGCTCACAGGGACTGCCCCATTAGTCATATTTTCCTCTACACCCTCCCAACGTGGACTTCCAACCCCAGTTATATCACAGGTTCACTTACAGTGAGATTTACGTCTCTCTCCTTGAACTACAAGACGTAACTGTTTATGTCTTTCTCGTTGTTGGGTGTGAGCTATTTTTTAGTACCACCAACTGTCTACTGAATACAGTGTTCAGTTTTACAGTGAATTCTGCCAGGAAGAAACCTACTTTTCCATTTTACAGAGAAGGACACGGGTGGCCAGAGGGAATCAATGGCCTGGTTATCCTGCAGGGCTAACCCACTGGGAGGCAGGCCTTGCCTGTCCGGGGCCTGGAATCACGCCGCGCTGTTTTTCATTCATTGCCCACTCTGTGTGCTCATACCCAGGGGCCTCGATCTCTGTAGGCCGACAGAAAAACTCTGGAACAAGTGAATTTATTCACCAGCCATTATGAGTTATCCATTAGTTTTAATTTACATTCATCTGTCAAAACAGCCCAATCATTCTCTCATGTGATCAGAGCAAAGGGCAAACCAACAGGAGCCGTCACACAGGTTAAGAACTGGACTCTGAAGCCTGGCTTTGGGGCCCACATCTTGACGGTCCCTTTCTTGCTATGTGATCCTCGTCAGGTTACTGAAGCACTTTCTATCTCAATTTCTCTACCTATAAAATAGGGAAACTAATGGAATGTACTTTTGGGGTGTCTGAGGATTCATTGCCATCGTATTTGTAAGACATTCAGAAATTTCCTGGCAGGAAGGAAGGGCCTTGCAGGATCTAGCTTTCCAGGTTTTCTATGGAGAAATAAAAACACCATGCCCAAATTCAGTGGCTCCTCTTTGGATTTTAATTCGTCTTCCTTTCTCTTCCTTTGAGCTACTGTCGTAGCAGAGCAATGAGCCATTTGCATGAGGATGGTCCTTGTCAACCATGAGCAGGTGGGCTGCGTCATCCAGGAGCTTGCTCAGTGAGGGAGGAGGGGGTGGAAGCCGCAGACCAGTGTGATCCAGGAACTCACGACCCCGGGCGCTTCCATGGTCAATGGTGCCTTACGTTGTCTTGGTGCCACGTGTTTTACCTTGTCTTTGTTTTTGAGTGTGCTAGCTTTCCATTGTTGTGATGAAATACCTGAGAAGAACCCTTTATCGGGTAGAAAAGTTTGCTCGGCTCTTGTTTTCTGAGGTTTCAGCCTGTGGCTGGCCCTGTCCCTCTGGGCCTGTGGGGGCACAGCAAATCATAGCAGCCGGAGCCTGTGGCAGAGGAGGCTGCACACCCCATGCCAACCAGGAAGCAGGAAAAAGAGACGGGAGGGGCAGGACCCACGGGCCCTCAAGGACACACCCAGCGGCTCACCTCCTCTCAGTGGGGCCCACCTCCTAAGGTGCACCACCTCCCAGTCTCGCCGCAGGCGGGATGAAGCCTCCCACACATGGCCCTTAGGGCACTCCAGATCCCAAGGACCGCACAGAGCTGGTCCTGTTGCCTGGAGGGGTCCCTCTGCACATCCTGCCTGGTCCTCCCTGTTAGGGTGCTCTTGGTCCCTCTGCACTGGAGCAACTGTCAGGAAAAATGTTTTTGTTCTCGTCTTTGTTTTTCAGAAGGGAAGCCAGGGGACCCCTCGCACACGGCTGGTGGGAGCACACAGCGGCACAGCCACTTGGGAAGATAGCTTGGCTTTTCCTCACAAAACTAAAGACACTCCTCCCTTTGCTCCAGCCGTCTCTCCCTTGGAATTTAGCAGAGGCTGAAAACTTACATTATCACCAAGAACCATGCATGGGTGTTTACAGCAGCTCCACACACAACAGTCCAAACTTAGAGGCTGGCGATGCGGCGGGGGGACCCTGAGTTACCAGCATGGCACACTCCTGTGACATGCCCGGGCCCTGGTAGGCAGCTGAGAGTCCTCAGAGACAGTGACCCATCTGATCCGCGAGAGGGAGCGGAGAGCAAGTCACACACTGCCATCTTCCCATGATTCTAGTGTTAGAGCAAGCTGTGAGTCCAGCCCTTACCCAGCTGCCAGGGAGGGATAGCGAAGGACTTACAGATGGGCCTTTAAACCCCGCTGTCACTCAGCTGCATTCCATTATCTCTAAGTTGGCACTGTCCCCAGCAATGGCTGCTGGCCGCATGTTGCTCTTGAACATTTGCAATTGGTCCCAGTTGAGATGCATGTGAATATAAATGGAACAGATTTTGAAGATTCAGTATGAAAACAGATCGTAGAATGTTGTTGTTTATTTTAAGATATTGCTACGTGTTGAATGGTAGTATACTGTATTTCTATTGAACTGTGTCCTAAAAGCAGAGAGACACTCAAACCAACCTGAACACTGGGGGCCAGGGCCATGTGGTGGCAGGCAGAGACGGCAGTGACCTATTTACAAGCCAAGGGCTTTCAGGAAGAGCCGGCGGCCATCAGAAGCCATGAAACAAGGAAGGGGGTCCACCTAGGGACAGATGGGTCCATCTCACTCACTATTTTAAAGGTTTATTGACCAGGCTTCTGGGTTTTAATAAAACAGGATTTCATAAACTGTTAATTTAGAATAGTAAGTAGAAAATAGTAAAAATAGATTTCTACTAGAGAAAACTTCTGAGTCTGCAAATAATGTTTTGAAAAGAGGGAGAGATTGATGATTGATGGGGGTTGTGGGGGGGGGAGAGAGAGAGAGAGAGAGAGAGAGAGAGAGAGAGAAACTCTGCAAGGACAGGTGGCCTTGATGGTCAAGACTAGTTCTCTAATGGACTGGGCTGGGCTCGGGGACTCCATTTGCCTGAAGCCATGACCTCTGTCTCTAAGCCAGCCAGTGGAGACTGTGGTCATTCTGACAGGTCTAAGGATGCAGGCCCAAGTTTAGGTCCTCCGTGCGCAGTGTGGAAGTGGGCAGCTTGGCCAAGCTGCAGGGATGGTGAGGGCACTGATCAAATTGGGAAGGGAGGTGGTCACCCTTCAGATTCTGGGAAACCAACAACAGTTTCTGGTTCTTTAAGTTACTGTCCTGGGAGAAGCCTTGCTTTGACCTCACAGATGCAAATTATAATTGGTGGCACATGGCATTAGTCTCCTATCGCTGCTGTGACAAAGGACCCCAAATCAGGTGGCTTAAAGCATCAGGAATACACATCCCTGTGTGCTGGAGGCAGGAGTGGGGTCAGGCTGTGGTGGGGAGTGCTCCCTGTAAGGCCCTCAGGAGGACGCTCCTCACCTCCTTGGGTTTCTTGATTGTAGTCGCCTCCCTCATCCCAGGACCAAGGCCTTCTGTGTCTCTTTCTCCCCGACAGGGATGCAGTCGCATTGGACAAAAGGCCACCCTGGGTCAGTGCCCTCACCCTAAGTGATCACGTCCAGGAAGGGCCTGTTCTGAAGTCCTGGGATGGCTTGCTGGTACAGGGTCAAGAGTTGGCGGGGGGCCGGCTAGAGGGGAAAGGCCCATTTTTGATTCCCCTCATTTTCAGGCTCACAGCAGAAATTTGTCAGCAGTACCACAAGTCAGGTGCCCTGATTTTTCCCAGGCCACATGGACGTTTTGACAGGATTTTCTAGGAATGGACCTGGCTTCTGGCCAGCTGAGCTGAGCAGTCAGCTGTCAGAGGGTTCCATGGCTAGTGGATGGCTCCGGAGCTGGCGGCTCCTTGGTTGTGATAGGGGTACCGCCTTCACCTCTTCAGTTGGCCCATAGGATAGGTGGCATAGGGTGACACTGCCAGCTGAGAATGACGTCATCAACACCATCAGATCCCAGCAAGTGCCCAGGTGCAAAGGCAAGGTTCCAAGTGAAACTCCAGTTCTGCGCTCAGGGGCCGAGGTGGGCTCCAGTGCGGCTGTGTGTGGGGAAGGCAGCCTCATTGTCCTGCCATCAGAGACGAGCGTCAGGCTGAGGCCGGCGTCTGACCTTCCGTGGGACTCAGAAACAGATGGAGCTCACCTCCAGCCTCGTGTCCAGAGCAGAAAGCTTGTCTCAGGCGTCCCCAGGAGACTGACCAACTCCTCCACCATGGACACGGAGTCTCAAAGGCTCAGGACTTAACCGCCACTGTCGGTGAGAGACGGCAGGGGCGGGCCCACAATCCCCCTGGCTGCATCCAGGGTACAGGTTCCTTCCCGCGGGCCTCTGGCAGACACACACAGGTATGTTGTATCAACCCTTTTATTAATTGGGCTAATTTCCACACGTTTGCTCCGAGGCCTTCAGAGGTTAGCAGGGTGTCTTGCACAGAACGTGCTCGCCCAAA